CCGTCAGAATCGCTACGAGCCTCCACCAGAGTTTCCCCTGGCTTCGCCCTATTCAGGCATAGTTCACCATCTTTCGGGTCCCAAAATACAAGCTACACTCAAACCTTTCACCCGAAGGATCCTGGTCGGTTGATGGTGCGGACGTAAAGCCCTCCCACCGTCGGTCTCACTTTCATTACGCGCCCCGGGTTGCCACCGGCGCACTCGCTCGTATTTTAGACTCCTTGGTCCGTGTTTCAAGACGGGGTGAACGGAAGAATTTCGTCACCGAAGGTCTCAGGCGCGGCCTGAACACGAGATTGGTCCGAAGACCTTCCCATGAACGACTCCCACGCCCCAACCCACGCTGACCTACGGACGCGCACAAGTACGCCGGCCAAGAGCCCGGCGGAAAATACGCGCCCATCACCACTTCTGCCGTTCGGTTCCCTCTTACCAGTTTCAGGCCCTTTTTAACTCTCTTTTCAAAGTTCTTTGCATCTTTCCCTCACGGTACTTGTTCGCTATCGGTCTCCCACCCGTATTTAGCCTTAGATGGAATTTACCACCCGTTTGGTCTGCAATCCCAAGCAAACCGACTCGTCGAAGACGCACCGTACGACGCGGTCCGAGGCACAGACGGGATTGTCACCCTCTCCGATGCCCTGTTCCAAGGGACTTCTCCCCGGACCTTGCCTGGCGTCGCCTCTTTAGACTACAACCCAACCTTGTGTAAGGTCAGTTTACAATCTGGGCTGATCCCGCTTCAGTCGCCCTTACTAGGGGAATCCTTGTTAGTTTCTTTTCCTCCGCTTAGTTATATGCTTAAATTCAGCGGGTCCTCTTGCGTCACGGAGGCTCAAGATTGAGTGTTTATTACTAAACAGGCGTCCTCGATCCGAAGATCAGTAAAGGACTGGGCCTCTCCGCCGTCTCATTGCTTACTCAAAAGCTCTTCGGTCCTCGGCTGGGTGGATTAGGTGCTTTACGAGAAAGCCTAGTACCCCGCCTCGGACGGACCGAATGAGGCGGCGCGACGAGAGCTTGACTTGGCGCCACGATCAACCAATTGGTCCATCGAAGCGCAGACTCCACCGCCACCGAGTAGTAACACTCCGTGGGGTGATGTGGGGGACAAGCACTCCGTCACGCATGCTCCCAGGCATATCCCGGGAGCGCAAGATGCGTTCAAAGGTTTGATGATTCACTGGATTCTGCAATTCGCATTACGTATCGCATTTCGCTGCGTTCTTCATCGTTGTGGGAGCCAAGACATCCGCCGGTAAGAGTTGTATGGCATTTCGCTTGATCAAAATTAGTTGTTACACTAATCTTTCGGCGTCAGCATGCGCTGGTTCACCCGTTTGGTTAGAATCGGAGTGTGAGTGACTGTGGACGATGACCCAATCAAGAGTACACCGAAGTCAGAGGTACTAACTGAATAGTACCGGTTCGCTGGGGTGTGTGTTTAGGTGTGGATATTAGGTAATGATCCCTCCGCAGGTTCACCTACGGAGACCTTGTTACGACTTCACCTTCCTCTAAATAGTGAGGTTTAACCAACTTCCCGAGGTACGTTCGCCGTGAAGCTTGCGAACCCCAGTCCGGAGGTTTCACCGAACCATTCAATCGGTAGGTGCGACGGGCGGT